GCACACGGCCCAACCTCACCGCCATGTATACGGACATCACTGACTGGACCGACACCCCCGAGCCCGGTATATGTATAGGTGACCGACCACACTGCTGCACCGACCTGTGACTGGCTGCACGTCTGCACACATAGGGCGGGGCCTGCTATCCAGGGGGCGGGACCTGTCATCGAGCACTGTACTACAAGGCAGAGCATGCTGGGAGGTGTGGCGAGTCATGTGATGTTTAGTAGGCGGGGCATGCCGAATACTGGCAGAGTTGTCACCAGAAATCACTCATGTTGTTATCAGTAGAGATGGGCAAAACGGTTCATCTGCATGAGCGCCCCTCTACGGATCGCTCACTGAAAAGATCCGGATCTTTTAAACGACTCATGGTTCACTAAACTGCTCTTTTTACTATGGTAGGAGAGGAAATGAGAAGGGGATGTAGTTTGAGGGAGGGAACGGGAGTTATTTTTAAAGTAAAACCATTGCTTGTCTGTTATGCAGAATACCCCCAGCATTCCCCCCACCACTATAATGCATTGCTGGGACTTGTAGTCCTACATAGTTGGTGCTATTCTGCATTGCTTTATAATAATCATACAGCAATGCAGAATACCACCAGCTATGCGGGACTACAAGTCCCAGCAATACATTATAAAAAAAAAGTCAGCTGTGCAAAATATCTCTGAGCGGATCTCAATCAGTATAATTGAGAAGGCGCAAGGAGCTAAAGAACTATATCATTTCAATCTTGATCCATTGAGAGCCAGATTCAAAGATGCAAAGGAGCCAAAAGAACCAAATCATTCCTGAGTCTGTCTGACTCTTGCTCTAAGATCATATTACAAGAGCTGCTCTTGTCTCACTCTCTGCTTCTATATTCCATCCACAGAGAGCACAGACCAGAAGAACCGCCGCTCATTTTTACTCGGCCACCGCTCTTTCATTCTTCTGAGGGAGCCGCTCAATAGTTTCGGATCGCTCATGAGCTACCCATCTCTACTTATCAGTCTCTGCATAATGACTATAAAATGTTCTCTGATGCTGGTTCTCGTTTTGTTGTGTTTTAAATGGAGTGTTGGAGGTTTAGGTCTCCGTTTAACCCTTGCCATCCGACTTCTGGAGGCCGTTTAACTGCAGCTTCACGATCATGTGATTAGTTGATACAACGGACACATGATGGGGACAATGACGTCACAAGCACAAGTTGAAACGTTTTTCCACAACACGGATAACGCTGGGTGTTGCTATTCATTTTGAATGGCTTTACAACGCCAGGCAACCCCAACACACCTGCATGCAGTCCACCATAACCCACCCAAATGTACTAAAATCATAGTGCAGGGTGACACCTTACCATTCATTTACACTTCCTTCCTCAAGCACTCTGGGAGTTATAGATAAAGCTTCCTGTTCTGCAGGTTGTCTTTGGTTTTTAGTCTTTATGCAGGTCCATTGACTTGCATTAGATGTGAGGAATAGTCCATAGCCGGAGCTGAGAGGAAAGTGCTAACTGCCACGGGACTGAAGTGGCAGTCAGTGTGAGCTCACCTCCCTCCCCCTAGACTCCGGCTATGGTATGTCCCTTGCTGTCCTTACGTCTAATGCAATTCAATGGACCTGCATAAGATGTGATGATGTCAGTAGTCCTTAGACCACTGGAGCCCAGAGGAGAAGGATCAGGTGTATAATGGTGGCCATACAGTGCGCAAATTTCGTGCGCTTCCTGCAATTCTCACAGGGAGTTCTGCTGTGGGCACCCCTTTGGCCGGCATCCCTCAATCAGCTGATCGTAGGAGCTGGTTGGAAAATCTTTAAAGGAACAGAGGCAGCAGCCAAATGAACTGCCGGTGTTCTATCAAAGATTGTGACTGGGTTGGAAAGTGTGACCGGTCACGTGGTCACACATTTTAACGTAGTCACGCCCAACTTTGTGAGTGCAATCTGACATTTCACAAAGTCGGACAGAGGTGACATTTCAGGACCGATCAGCTGTTCCAGGGCAGATCGGTTCTCCTGCACATACAATCTGCGATGCCGATCTGCCCTGGAACAGCGGAGAAAGCTTTGAATTCTACACCTTTTGCCGGCCACATATTTTAACCCCCAAACAAAATGGGCGTGACTACGTTAAAATGTGTGACCACGTGACCGGTCACACATTCCACTGCCGAAAAACTGGACGGGATTATGTTAAAATGTGTTACCACGTCACATATTCTAATGCAGTCACAAACTTTGATAGAACACGGCTCTGTTCGGGTATTCTGAAGAGAGATTGCTCCATCATTGCTTGTAAGCATTGATGGAGGAATCTGTTCTTTGTGTTGTTTTTTCATTTAGCCTGCAGGTTGAATGAAAAAACCCAGATGCGTGTATGTACTTTTTAGACAAAACAAGTCGTTAACCCT